CATCAAGACGTGCGCACATATTCATGCCACCTGCACGAGCCCACGCACGTGATCAAAGCCCCTTACCTGACCATTGGGCATTAGATAAAGAGGTTTATTTTGTAAAATGATTTAAATAATTTATATTTATATATATAATTGTATAGATAATATAAAAATAATGAATTATTGTAATATAATATTTACATAATTTTCATAAAAAAAAAAATTATTTATCTTTTTAATAAAAATATACTTCGGGTGTGTTTGTTTGGGGGTTTGGATTTTGGATTGGGATTTGAATAGTAAAAAGTTTGAATTTGAATAGTTGTATGATGTGATATAAATAGGGTTTGATGTGATGTTTTGAATGTAAAATTGATTTTTAGTATAATATAAAAAATGAAAAATAGGTGATTGATTTGATGTTTTTTGGGGGAAAAAATTGGATGAATAGTGAAAATCCTCCAAAATCCTTCAAACAAACACACCCTTCATTCGTCTCAATACAATAGTCTTGTTTACTATTTTTGTTCCTCAAAAAACAATAGTCTCATTTTCATAAATAATCATATCACTATATAACTATCATTACTTTTTCATTATTATTATACAATTGTTACTACTTTTTACACCAATACACTCACCAGGGCAAAAAAATCTTTACTTATATTTTTTATCTACTATCAATATAATATCAATATTCTTTAAATCTCGTATCAAACACAACCCAGACTATAATTCTGAGAGGAGGGAGTATTACTTTTCCCCTCCAAATTTATTATTCAATTTTTTTGAATACATAATTTTTAAAATATTATATGTATATTTACACTAAATGTAAAATTTTTACATAATACAAATCTTATGCAGAGGTATGCATATCTCATCAATTGGGAGCAATTGTTTGTATTTTATTATAGGTTTATTTACCTACCAAGTTTGGATCGACATATATTTTAATGAATATTAATAGAAAATATAATATGTAAATATCCATACAATATATATAATATAAAAATATTAATAATTTAAGACATAATAATATTTTTTTATTATATCGATATAAATCTGTATGCATCAAACTAAAATACTAAATAAACATTCAATTGTGATTTACCACAAATTATTTTTTCCTTTATGTAGTATATTTAAAATATTTGTAATTAAAAATTATTTTTTATTAAAAATAATTAAAATACACCCTAACAGGCCGTTTGATACAGTCATAGGGATGTCAACGGGGTAGGTTCGGGACAGGTTCTGCAGGCCCCGAGACCCGCCCCGCTAAAAAATATTAGGCTCTGAGACTCGTCCCGCCCCGCTTCCACCGGGCCCCAGGATCCGCCCCGGGCCAACCCGGCAAATCCGTTTTTTTTTTAAATATATAATAATAAATATTTTTTAACAATCGAATACTAAAACAAATAGCATTAAAAACACAAAAAAAATCGAAAAATAATCAAATATTGATCCATAAAAATACGATAAATAAATAAATAATAAGTATATTTCTATTATATAAATATACGTATATTAGGTATAATAATTTTAAAAAATTATTTGGAGCAGACCACTAATTGAATTTTATATTTAAAATTATTTAAATAAATAAATAATATATTTTTATTATATAAATGTACATATATATATTAGTTATAATAATTTTAAAAAATACCGGGTTCGGATCTGGGTCCGGGTTGGGGCGGGTTTTTAGTAAAACCCGTAACCCGCCCCGCCCCGGCCGGGTTTAAAAATTTAAATTCACAACCCGCCCCGAACCCGCCCCATTAAGAGCGGGTCCGGGGCGGGTCCGGAGCTAACCCGTCCCATTTGACATCCCTAGATACAGAGAATAAAATTGAGAATGAAATTGCACATAAATGAAATTGAGTAAAGAATTACAATTAATTCTTTTATTTGGTAAAACAAATAATTCAATTGAGAAAATTAAAAAAAATAAATTTGCAACTATATGAATGGATCAAATAAAAATAAATGAATAACCGGATTAAAAAAAAAGTTATAACAAATGAAAATTCATAAAAAATATTTTTGGTAATATTTTTTTTAAAAAAATTATAAATTATATACTATGTTTTTTAATATTATATTTTAGTACAATTTCTTAAAAGATTGTAAAAATTAAATATTTTCATAATAAATTAAAATTGATTTTTATAAAATTGAATAATATAATTTTTAAAAAAATTAAATAGTATAAAAAATAAAAAAATAATAATAAAATATGCAACATCATTTCTCTTCTAAATTTAAATTGATGGGCGGAGCTATGCCTGGACTCGGAAGATCATTTTATGCCCTCACTTCCCATTATTTTTCACATAAATTACAACGGAAAAATGAAGAAAAAATCATTTTTCGCGAACAGAACAGCGTTGCTAGGGGAGGAATAATTGAAAATAATAATAACAATAAATTTAAAAAAAAAAAAAAAGAAAAAATCGGATTAACGTAAGAGTTATTAATATTTTTAATAATACTTATATAATTAAAATTATTTTATATAATTATTTATGGGATGAGATCATCGATCCTCTTTCTTTTGAGGTATCTCCGCACCCCAGCAAGCAAATCATGACTAATACTATTATTTTTATATATTTGTGATTGTTTGTTTTTTATTATAAAAAATTATTTTAAAAATATCAAATTAATATTTATTTATTATATTATATTAAAAAATTTAATTTCAAATTAAAAATATTATATTAATATATATATATATATTCTAAACAATAATTTTAATTCAAATTTTTATTATTTAAAATCTAAGCTCCACAACCAAATTTTTTATATAATTATTTTTAGTTTAAATTATATTATTAGATAATTATTACAAATAAATAATAGAACGTTTAAAATATATAATAAATACAATAAAATTTAATAAATTCACCCTAATATTATTTTTCTTACCTCCGGCTCCCTCGACCCAACAGTTCTAACTCCGCCGCTAAATCAACTATATTATACTCCATTCGTTCACTTAATAAATTTACGTTTATTTTTTGTGTAATTGTATTTAAGATTATAAATATCATTATATTTGTATAATTTCTTATACAAATGTCATTATATTGTATGATAAGACACTAATACAAGTATTATTATTATTTTTCCTTAATTTGTATAACGTTTTGATATAATAATTAATATTTAAAAATAGACATGCAAAAAATCAAATATCAACTCTCAAAGTGGACGGAGATAATATTATATTATTCACCAAAACTTCAATTTTTGCACAATCGTATTGACTATTACAAAATATCATATTTAATCATTTAAAAAAAAAAAAAAAACAACCATGCTCAATGATTTTATCCTTTTTGGTTTGGGTGGTTGTAATGTGAAATTATTTTTTTTAAGTTTTATTTTAAATATATATTTGGTAAGGAGGAATAATATAATTTAAATTTTATGTTTTGAAAATTTTCTTAGGATTTAATCATAAACTTTGAATTTTTACTTTTCAAATTTTGCGTTTTTCGAAAAATATATATATTTTTTTTCAAAAATATTTCATCATACATTATTTTAATATCAAATTCAAACCAAAATTTTTTAAACAACGTCAAAAGAAACATACACTTAGTTTTTGAGAATTATTTGAATAATATGGGGAAACATAATGTTGTTTTAGTAGGGCAATTTTGTTGCTGATATATATTACTCCCTCCGTCTCATAAGTAAAATATCCATGTGCTTTTTGCACGTAATTTTAAAAATATTAGTATTATATTGGGATATAGTAGAAATAAAATAGAAAAGACTAAAATAACCTTATCAGTATGTGTGATATAAATGTAATGACATTTGTAATATATTGTAAGTTGTAAGGGTATTTGTAATATTAGGTAGATAGTACCGTTACTAAAAAAGAAATGAATACTTTGTTATGGACGGACTAAAATAAAAAAATGAATAGTTTATTATGGGACGGAGGGAGTATAAAATAAAATAGTCCATTTATTGACCATTGTGTTAGTATTAACAAAGAAAACCCAATAAATTTTGAAATTTTCATGTCTATTTGTGGTTTTAATTTTTGAGTTTTGATTGATGTTATCCGCAATCGCGGATTCACTATTGTCAAGGTGAGTCACATGACCCCACTTGATTTTTTATGTATATATACTAATTATTTATACAATTTTCATTATATTCAAACATACAAATAGTAAAATTCTATATATAAATTTTTCAGTTTTATAATTATTTAAAGGATATTCTTATTTTAATTTTTTTTAAAACTTAATTAATAATGTAATTATATTAATATCCTTCTGTATCAGAACTTTAATCTACTTTGTTCTTAATTCACTTTATTAGAAATATTACAAACGATAATATAATTAAATATTTTTATCGTAATAAAATGTATAAGGAATAATTGTAATTTATCTCTTTATATTGTAATAATAATTTATTAAATTATAATTGTGCAATTGCTTAAAAAATAAAATAATATATTTTTATTAAAATTATTAAAATAATAAAAAGTTTGGTTTAATACACAAACTACACAAAACCATTGCATAATTAAGAACAAAATCAATCAATTAAGAAAGCTATCATTATGGGCCGCTAATTACATGATTAAGGCCCAATAACTCCCAGCTTTTCTAAAATTTCCCAATTCAGGTCATTAAAAGCCCAACAACCTTAATGCACGTTTTTTTTTTTTTTTTTTTTTTAAGATTTGTATTTGAATTTAGTGTTTAAAAATAGTAAAAAAAAAATTAAATTAATATTGGATAAAATGTTTGAATACAAATTTATTTTTATAAATAATTAATAAAAATTATTATTTAATTTGATAATTATAATAATTAGGTTTTATCACAATGATGGGTGGGGTCAGTGGATAAAGGTTAGTAAAGCGTAAGGAGAATCATCACTCAAAAGCAACGGTTGTCGTTGCGCCACGTGGACGGCCAGATTTTGCTGCGACCGACTCGGCCCACCGCACCAGCCCTTAATTATTCTCTCCTTTCATATTCAATTTCTGCATCTCTGTGTTTCTACAAACCCTAGAATTTACTCTCTACAATTACCACTATTCTCTCCCTCGAATTTTCGCCCGATCCAGACATGGAGATGGAACGCGTCACTGAACTGACTATGGATCGACGGCCGAGGAAAAGACAGCGTTTGGGATGGGATGTTCTTCCTCAAGCACCGAAGGTATTTGTTGTGTTTTATTTTTTCTTTACTTCTTTGATTTTGTCTTGTTTTCTTGTTTTTTTTTTTTTGTAGATCTGATGGAATATTATGATTTTTATTCGATCAGGTATGATAATAATGTATGGATGAGTTTGTTAGGGATATCGCTTTTTTTAGATCCTAGATCTGCTTTTGTTTTTCGTTTCTCGCTGTGATTTTGCCTCAATTTTCTTGTTTTGTTTTGTTTTTGTCTGATCTGATAGTTTGTGGTATATATCGAATCTTACGCTTTGTTGATTATTTTTTTGTATTCGGATTGATATATGGAATATTTATTTTCTGATTAATATCGAAACAATAAACGAAAAGTTAACATAGATCTGATGGATGGCTTGAATAGCAGTCTTTTTAACTTCTTTTCCTATGAATCATGGTATAAAGATTTTGATAATTTTTGCTTGTTGGCTGTTCTTGAAATTGGTCAACAGTTTATCTTTTTTTCTTCTATTTTTAATCAGTCATATTATATGTTTTGTTTTTCTTGTTTGAATTTGAGGACTATTATCTGTTTTTTTCGTGGAGAGAAGGGATATGAAGGAGGTAAACAGAATTAATAATTATTTATATTGAGGACGGTGTGAATGGATCCCTGTGTGTAGGCTCAGCTAGGATTGTTTTCTGCACAAGAGATTGGGAATCTGACAAGCTTTGCATCTCCAAGAGTATTCCCCGACCATCCTAGTTCTCTCTTTGTTAAGGGATTGGCTCAAAATGCTTCTCCACCATGGCGTGAGGATGACAAAGATGGCCATTATATGTTTGAGATTGGAGATAATTTAACTCCCCGCTGTAACTACCTACACCATTTTAGATGCTATTATTTTTATTGATTCAACACTCATATTATGGGTCTTGCTAATTAAATATTACATAAACCCATGGTTTATTTGTCATTTTAAGTCCAAATCCAAATAGGGATTTGGGTTTTGTGCTTGAAAATTTTGAAGTTATTGTGAAGTTTATGATTTGTAATTGGTTAATTTGTATATAATCTTGCTTCATGGTGTGCTAGTTTATTGATTATACCTTTTACCATCATGTTTTTGTACCTCCTACTAATGCATTTTTGTTGATTTGTTGTTTCAGATAAGATCAACAGCAAGATGGGTGAAGGTAAGAACCTTCTTCTACGGGCATTTGTTTTACTGAGTTTGCTTACACTGTATATTTGATGAATTTCTATATTGCATATATTCTATTGCTATATTAATTCAAATCCTTTGCGCAGGCACTTTTGGGCAGGTTTTAGAATGCTGGGATAGAGAGAAAAAGGAAATGGTAGCCATTAAAATTGTTCGCGGTATTAAGAAGTACCGCGAAGCTGCGATGATTGAGGTAGAAGTGCTCCAACAGCTTGGTAGACATGACAAGGGAGGCTCTCGGTAGGTTTCCAATTCAACTTTATAAGATGATTGCCGTTCTTTTTGTTTTTGCAAATAATTGCAGTGGTTGAAAAAGTTTGTTCCTTGCAGTTGTGTTCAAATACGGAACTGGTTTGACTATCGTAACCATATCTGTATTGTAAGTATATAAATTGATTTGGTGGATTAATTTCCCCAACCTAACAAATATCATGGGGTTTAAACCTGTCCGTGGCCTTAAATGGTTTCAACAGGTGTTTGAGAAGCTTGGGCCAAGCTTATATGATTTCCTACGCAAAAACAATTATCGATCATTTCCCATTGATCTTGTCCGTGAGATTGGAAGACAACTGTTGGAATGTGTAGCATGTGTGTAAATAGTTTCTTCTCATCAATTATAACATTTTCTATCGCTAGGATAATGATAACAATAATAACAATAATAATAATATAAGTGGAGGTAAAACTTCTGAGACCAAAATTACCAAATCGAAACCTGTCATCAAATCAATTCGAAACCTAAAGTCTAAGGCTTGTTTTGTTTTCTGTTTGTCTTTTTCCCTCGTATTCTCAGTTATGCATGATTTGCACCTCATCCACACGGACTTGAAGCCCGAAAATATTCTTCTGGTCTCACCAGATTACTTAAAAGTTCCTGATTACAAGGTAGCCTGTATGATCTCCCGATGTTTGTACCGTGCCTGTGAATGTGCCAACATCTAAATGTCACTTTTATGTGTTATCTTTCTATGGTGTTTACGGTTCTGTTCAATTTTCTCAGGTTTCATCAAGGTCTCCCAAGGATTCGTACTACAAGAGGGTACCAAAGTCTAGTGCGATCAAAGTAATAGATTTTGGTAGCACGACCTACGAGAGGAAAGCCCAATCATACATTGTATCCACTCGACATTATCGAGCTCCGGAAGTCATTCTAGGTACATTTACCATTTAATATACAAACTACCTTTCCACCCCTAGCGTCACACGATTTCTCTCTTGATCACTTGTTTGTGCCGCGCAGGCCTTGGATGGAGCTACCCGTGTGATATATGGAGCGTCGGCTGTATTCTTGTCGAGCTTTGCTCGGTATGTTTCTTCATTTATTTATTCTATCTTTAAATGGTGCGCAAGTGAATCGTCAATTACAAAATTAAAAACTATCATCGACAGGGCGAAGCATTGTTCCAAACGCACGAGAATCTCGAGCACCTTGCAATGATGGAGAGAGTGCTCGGCGCGTTACCACATCACATGCTGAAAAAAGCCGAGTAAGCGAAAACAATCGAATCTTCCCATATTGTAGCAACTCGTAAAGCTCTTTTATACAAAATACTGATTTTTCATCAAAATTTTATTTTTATTTTTATTTTTTATTTTTCCAGCCGACAAGCTGAGAAGTATGTAAGAAGGGGCCGGTTAGACTGGCCGCAGGGCCCTACGACTAGGGACAGTATCAAAGCTGTTCAGAAATTGCCGAGGCTGCAAAACATGATAATGCAGCACGTAGACCACTCTGCGGGCGACCTAATTCACCTCTTGCAGGGGCTTCTCAAATATGACCCGGCTGAGAGGATGTCGGCCCGGGATGCCCTCAGACATTCTTTTTTCACTAGGGATCATATAAGGCGCAGCTGAGGATTTGTCGTCGTGTATTTAAGGTAGAAATGACCGTAATCATCTCTTACTCGTCATCTACTCACTTGGTTGTTTGTACATAAATCAATATTATTATATTATTATTATTATTATTGTTATTTGTTAAATGGAGATAAGGTGACGACTTCATCTACCTGCCTGGCATGAATTTGTTCCTTTGCGTAGTTTTTTCGGGAAAAAGTTATTGTGCATGAATGTCAGTCTTTTTTCTTTTCTGAAAGTATAATCAACTAGATTATTTTTGGGGTGCTTAATAATAATAATAATAGTATTAGTAACACACATTTAGATTAAGTATATTTAATTAGTAAGAAATATATTTAGTAAAAATATTTATTATATAATAAAAATAATTATAAATTAAAATTAACAATACAGTGCATTATATTAATAATATAATATATTCAAAATAAATGAGAATAAATATTGACTAAAATTTTCTTGAAAATATAGATTGTAAAACGTACAAAAATTACATTAATATATATATATATATTTATATTAAATTAAATAATTCTTTTAATTAAAAGTTTTTATTATTTATAAACACAAGTTCAAACCCCAAACGTCACGAACCAACAGAGCCGAGTAAAACATTAGCCCTATGCAGCATTTATTGATTTTTCGTATCTATATAATTAACTATGAAGTATTTAATAATTTAAAATATTGCTACATTTAAACACATTTACTTGTTCCTCACATTATACTGTAAAACAGTATTTTGGGAGTAATTTTTAGTAATAATAATAAACTAGAGTATATAATTGCATAATCACTGGATAAGTCAATAATTTGCTATAATATAAAATAAACAAAATATTGATTGTGATTTGAAATTAATTTAAATAAAGTGTTTTTAGATTTGATTTTTTAAAAAAATTAAATTTTTTTATTAAAATATTATTTTGATGTAATATTTTGTTAAAACAAAAAGTATAATTGTATTAGAAATGGTAAAAGTAAATACTATTAATTTTAGTTTTAAATAAACATAATTATCAAAAAATATTTTATTTAGTACCTTCTTTTCAAAAATATAATGCTAATAATTTAGATTTACATTTACATTATTACTCATTTTATTTGGTTGTGTTTCTGTATTTCGAAAATAAAAAAAGTTAAAATCAGTAGTACTATAATTATTTGATACGGACATATAAATTGTTATTTGATACTGAATAAAAAATAAAATTTGATATAATGAAAAAATAGTTTATATGGAATATTTTTATGATAAAAATAAAACTCCTTTAGTCCGTCTAGTCACATTTATCTTCTGTCGTCAATTTATTTAAATATTAAAATATTTTTATAATTTTTTTTTACAAATATCTTTCTATTAATATTATAAAATATTAGTATTTTTAGAATTTTTTTTTAATATTAAATTATCTCAAAGACTGTTATGGTCAGACGAACATAGTATTTTTATAAAAATACATTTATTTTGTGATAAAGAAATTATATCAATAAAAATAGCAATTCTAATTTTAGGTATTTATGTTCAATTTATTTTATTATTTATCAATATTAATGTTGGATTAATGTTTATTTTTAAAGAATCTTTTAGGTAACCGACCTACGCACGCGGCACGTATTGAGGGCACTCCTTCCGTACACACACAATACACACACGTATATATATATATACATTCGATTCCACGACGCGGCAGTCTCCTCCGCCGCGCGGCGCAACCCGACCTAACCATCTCCGGCCTTGCCTCGCCTGCCCTCTGCAATCTCCGAAGACGCACAATCGGAGCTCGGATTTCCGGCTTAGGGTGGGTAATTATATTCCTTCTGAAAATTATGCGAACGGTTTTGTTTTCGGAATTCCATGCATTGTTGCGTGTATTTTCCTCCTTGATTACTTTTTCAAAGTTTCTACGATTTGTCTTCCGTCTGCATTCGGCAATGGTTGAATTGTTTAGTTATCTGTTGTTCTTTTAATTTATTTTATGCTTGTTCTGATGATATATCTAATTTTTGGATTTTCCTTGTTTTATTTTGAGCAACGGTTCGTAGCGGATATTGTTTTGTTTTCTTCGTTTTTGGTTCAGGAGCATTGAGTCGATCTTAATTTCAGTCTACGATAATATATTTCGAGTCTAAATTGATTATCATCTACTATAATTGCGGGATTGCCTCATCTGCACCTGAAGAATAGTAATCATTTGCCGAAGTTTTTCACGGCAAAAAAAGTGATATATTAGGAGGAAAAGGTCTGTGCTATGGTTTTGTTGATGCCTTCTTCTGTGAATATCTTCGAATAATGTATTCCATCAATTCTATTTTGCGTGTATATGTTTCATATTGAGATAGTTTTTGTGTTCTTCATGAAGCATTAGAGCGATCAAAATCATCAGAAACAATTGACCAGTTATATAGCAATCTTTGCCACTTAAAAGTTTATATGTATTGCAGCATCATAGGGCAACATTTTCTATGTTTAAGGCTGATTTTTCCTTCTAGGTTAACTATTCAACTCTATGCTCTTTCAAATGATTTTTTTGTTGGTTGATGTTGACCATTAGCTTAAATTGGAAGATCACTTCACTTTCTATTCAAGAGAAGAGACTTAGTTGAATTATTCGAAAAACAATCCGAGAATATCTATTTCTTTGTTTAGAAAATCCATTTAACAATATGACGATTGGCTGTATAATGCACATTGTGAGCTCTAGAATCATAAACAAATAACGATTGATCACATTTTCACTATCGTTATATTTTTATGTTCGATCCTTTCTTGCCTTGCGTTTGTTTCCATTACTGTGAAGACAATGTGTTCATTACTATATGTATCTTCTTCAATATCTAAAGGTAATAACATCAATAGATTCGACATTCTCGCGCTATCTTCCCTACCTCAGCTGTCAAATGCAATAGAAGATTATCCATAATTGATGAATTGATAATGATCAGTTTTCGAACATTTTAGTATACTCTCTGTTCATCACTCTTTGCTTGTTCTCTGTTTGTTGGAGCTCTGTTTTCGAACATTTTATAGTATACTCTCTGTTCATCAGTCTTTACTCGTTCTCTGTCCGTTGGACCTCTGTTTTTCGAAATTTTACGAATCCGTATGTTTGAATTTTCCAGGATTGCTTTCCTGCATCCCCATGGGTTACGCAAACGGCGTCGTGAATCCACAGAGAAAGCAGCCTCTGGCTTCCATCGGCATTATCTCTGACGTCCAATACGCTGACATTCCAGACGGCTACTCCTTCCTCGGCGTGCCCCGTTACTACAGGCACAGCCTGCTCGTTCTGCAACGAGCCGTGCAGAAATGGAACGACCAGAAACTCAAGTGCGCGATCAACTTTGGCGACATCGTCGACGGATACTGCCCTAAAGACCAATCCCTCACCGTCGTCAAGAAAGTCGTCGGCGAATTCAACCGCTTCAACGGCCCTGTGCACCACATGATCGGCAACCACTGCCTCTACAATCTCCCCCGCGACAAGCTGCTGCCATTGCTGAACATTCCGGGCCGCGACAGCCGTGCCTACTACGACTTCAGCCCCGTTCCCGAGTACCGTTTCGTAGTCCTCGACGGTTACGAAATCAGCGCCATCGGGTGGCCAAAGGATCACCCGAACACGATAAAGGCGATGAACTTTCTCCATGAGAGAAACCCGAATCCTGACAAGAACAATCCGAACGGGCTGGTGGGGCGAGACCGGAGGTTCCTAATGTTCAACGGCGCGGTCGGGAGGGAGCAGATTGAGTGGCTGAATAAAGTTCTTCGTGATGCGACGGATTCGGAGCAGCGAGTCGTCGTCTGCTGCCATCTTCCGTTGGATCCGCAGGCGTCGTCGAACGAGGCGTTGTTGTGGAATCACGGCGAGGTGCTCGACGTGATACATCGATACGGATGTGTTAAGGCTTGTTTGGCCGGACACGATCACAAGGGCGGGTACGCCGTCGATTCCTATGGCGTGCACCATCGTATACTTGAGGCTGCCCTCGAGTGCCCACCCGGCACGGATGCCTTCGGACGGATCGATCTTTTCGACGACCGGCTGGCCCTCGTCGGCACGGGCAGGTTGAAGTCTCAGGAACTTGTGTTCGGTAGGTAGCCTTTGGAGATCTATAGAAATTCATGCAGCTTTACATTGGAATATATATGTGTGTATGTATGGATATGTGAAGAATATGGCTTTTGCTTCTCGTATTGATGGAAGAGAGGCTTGAAGAGTAATATGAATACGAGAATACTCAAGGGTGTGTTCGTATATTCCCACTGTACATTTAATTTCCCTCAAAATCTTGTTAATCCCTTAGAGACTACTTCCTTTTCGTAGTCCACTTCCCTTAATAGCAGTAATAATAATGATAAATAAGATTATTATACTGCGAGGGAGGGAGTATTCTAATATAAAATTAATTTTTAGCATAATATAGAAAAAAAATACAAATTTGCTAGAACTCACTTCATCAAAAAAAAAAAAGAAACAAAATTTATTTTCTAGAAATTAAATTTAAATTTAATTAATAAATATCAAATTAAACATCATTTATTATTATTATTTATAATTTCTTTAACAATATTAAATATTTTCATTCAAACTATCATATCAATTTATCATTTTTTCAATAAAATAATAATTTTTTTTAATATAAAATAAACACAACTTAAAAATTCATACTTCAAAATCTTTCAAAATCTAAATCTAAAAATTCAAACCCCCCCCCCCCCCCCCACCGAACAAACCCACCCCTTTGGAGGACGTGTTGGGTAAATTCTGATTAGCCACTGGCATCACAAGTCAAAGGTTGTTTTGAACTTTTCACACTATTAATTTGAGTAGATATGAAAATATATTTAATTTTGTTTATTTGCTTGAATCTATTGACTTAAAATTTAAGAGTTTATTATTATTATTATTATTACTATTATTATTTTTTATTTTATTTTATTTCATATTTCATATATGTGAAGATATAGAAAGAATTGAATATGTATAAGTCCACAACTCACAGCTGCTTTTCATTAGGCACAAAATTGTTTGAGAGATTTGTTAAAAATTTACTCTTCATCTAAAATTTTCCCCAATTAAACATCTATTTTTTTATTTTCTATATTATTCTAAAAATAAATTTTACGTTAAAAACATCACATCAACACCTATTTATATCGCATCATACAATTTTTCCAATTCAAAATTTTTACTATTCAAATTCCAACTCAAAATCCAAAAACCCAAACAAACACTCCGGCTATTTATATTTTTAATAATCAACTCTCCCTTTTTTTACAAAACCATTCTGACTTATAATTACATAAAATACGAGCATTTTTGTCATTTAAAAACAAGTTTACACCAACTATCAATATAATAATCTTATTTTTTTTGTCCAATTCAAATATTCCTATTATTTTGAAATAGAAGGAATATATATTTTTTTGTGTATATATTGAATAAATGAAATTTATCTATATTGTGTTTGATTATTCTTTTTCTGTCAAAAGAAATAGAAAAATCAATTTTTATTATTTAAAATGATATTTTTTTCTTTAATTTCTCATTACCAAACTAGTTTTCTTCATCTATAATATTTATTTTTTTCAATTTTAATGCCAAGTGCACTTTAAATTGTTTGGAAGTAATTGACATTGCTATGCTACCAACCCCTCGTTCATTATTACCATTGACTTTGGACACGTGGCTAATTTATATAGGTAAATAGTAGTTAGTACTAACACATAATGAAAATTAGGAACCATAGGGTGGGTTTGTTTGGATGGCCATGTGCTATCGAGTCAAAAATTTAATTTATGTAATATTTTAAATAATAAAAAATATTTAATTTTATAAATTTCAAGAAAAAAAAATATTATGATGAATAAATTAGTGTTGGATCTAATTAAACTCTCTCCCAAACAAACAAGCAAACTCTAGCAGTTTATTTTTAAAAATAAATTTTTTTATTAATTTTTTTTATTTTATAATATAAAAAATTATAGAAATTTTGTCCATTTGTTAATTATATTTTAACAATAAAAAAATATTAAATTTTATGTAATTTGGTTGAAACTTTTTCTGAAACATTTAACTCCTTACTGAGAAAGAAGTAATACATATTTGTATTTGTAATAATCTTAGAAATAATTCCAATTAATTCGAACTTTATTTGGATTTCCTCTTCTCTATGTAGAAGAAAGCTAACAACGACAGCAACGAGAACGCCGAGAAGCACGCCGACGCAATCTCCAGAGACACGTGTCGGCCGGACACACCCTCCACGTGAAACAGCCCCGCCGTCTTCGGGCCGTCGGTTGTCTGCCCGTAGGCCACAGCCTCCCCGCCGGAATCGTAGGCGTAAGCCCGTACGAAATACGTGGCGGTGGGGACGTCCTTCTGCACGGCGGCGGTCGCCGTGGAGGCGGCGCCGCCGGCGGAGGAGATGTACGGTCGTCTGGCCACAATCGTGTGCTGACACGTCTTGTCCTTCTCCAAATTGTCGGCCGTCTTCCGCCACGCGCGGTCGCGCTGGCTCACCGGAGCGTAGCACAGCTTCACATCGACGGTTCTGTAGGCGGCGGCGGCGCCGCCGGGGACGGCGGAGCTCAGCCGCCATGTCACCGTGATGTTGTCTTCTCCAGCTTTCAGAACTGCAGCCGCCATAGTTTCGTTACAATTTGCAAGAAGAATCATACGTTGGGATTCTTGTGACAATTTTTAAATTTTTTTATTATTTAAAATTATTAAATTAAATATTTTTTCGTAATTGTATTCAAAATCTTTCATTTGAATTTTAGGGTATGTTTATTTTACTACAAACCCTGATATTTACTATTCGAACTCTGTTTTTTTAAAAATAATGTATTTTTGTCTTTCATAAAATATCTTATTATACATTATTTTAATACTAAATTCAAATCAATTTTTCTCCGAATACATCCAAAGAAAAGGATTTGTTCTCCCATCATTTTTTTTACACAAATTCAAATATATATTTTATTTTTAATAAAATTAAAATTCAACATAATATATTATTTTTTATATTACTAATATAATTTTCTATTCTCTTTATAAAATATAAATTAAATTAAAATACTAAACAAATAAATTAAAAGTTTTGATTGATATTTTTTTATTATTTATAATAAAAAATACAAAAAAAATAATACTATAATGTTTTAAACAATAAAAACAATATTTTTTATAAACAAATAAACAATTAATATAATTTTTAAAAAAAATCATATTTATTATTTATATTATATTAAAAATTAATTTTACATTTAAATAATATTAAATTTTTATAATTATTTAAATTTAAATTTTTAAACAAATATATCAACATATGTTTCTCTGACTCTACTATACGTATATAGATATAGAGATGGGAATTACGTACCTTGTCCGGGGAGAGGGGAGGCGGTGACGACAAAGGCCTCACGGAGAGAGGAGAACGTGGCGGCAGTGGCGGCGCCGGCAAGGCAAGAGAGAATCAGGGCGGCGGCGAGAGAAAAGTCGGAATTTGCCATTGATTTTGAGAGAGAGAGGATCCAATTATTAATTGGAATTAGGAAAGTCAGAGATTGTGGCAGTGAAGACCAAAAACAAGTGGGGAATCTGGATTGAATATATATAGTACTATTTATTTATTGCAATAGAAGAAATTATTGAGCTTTATTTTTTCTATTATTTTTTTTAGATTTTTAAAAAATTAATATATTATATATATTTATTATTTTTATAGTGTTTTGTTCGTCTCTAAATGTCATATTTATTTTTTACGTCATTGTATGTAATATTAAAAATATTTTTATATTTGTATAATTTTTTGTATGAATGTCATTTTATTAGTATTATAATACACTAATTTGAAGTATTTTTGTAATTCTTTTTTAATTTTTACTACATTTTGATATATTAATTAATATTTAAAGATTAATACACAAAAAGTAAATAAGACTTTTAGAGTCGGACAAAGATAATATTGTCTATGCAATTTAGCAACAAAAATTTCATTTTCAACGATCTCACAAACAAACAAACAAACAAACTCTTTTCATATTCATTAATTTTGTTACTTTTAGGCCATCTCGGGAATGATTACGGTGCTGATTTGAAAATTCAGTACCTATAATACATACAAACAACATATGCATATATTACATACAGTATGTACAGTGTGTAACAGAAACATGTGTTGTTTGTTCAGAATTATATGTGTGCTGTACAAGAGTATGTCATATGCTAAAATAATTGTTGTGTGTGTTGTATGTGATTATAGCATGTGCTATATTTGTATTATATTAATACAAGGGCTGTGCTGCCATAGACAATACAGCGTGTTGTTTGTTATTACATGGTGTGTTGTTAGTTTATTTGCTGTATTTGTATTATATTAATATAAGAGACGCGTAGACTGAAGTAATATATTGTGATGTTTGTTATTAATTCAGCACTGGAGCTGCCGCCGGCCATCTCCAACCCATGAACTCTATTTACGTAGTTTTAACTAAAAATGCAGTTGCTACAGTATTTTTATCCCAATCTATAACTCTATTTTTTACTTCAAAAATAATATTATTCAAATATTCCATATTATTTAAGTTTTAAACCACTTTCTATATTTACAATTAATATTATTTTTTTAAAAAAAATTTAAAAATATAAAATTAATATACCAAAATAAAAATATTAAAAAAAAAAAGAAAAGAAAGAGAAGACAACCCCATAAAATGGGGTTGTTGCACTGTAGCAAACACAAAAAATAGTGTTAGGATTGGCGCTGTGTTGGAGGGCAATTACTCAATGCAGCGTAAAAAAATGCAGGCCATTGGAGATGCCCTCGGGTCATCTCAAACCCATAAACTCTATTTATGTAATTTTAATTTTAAAATGCTGTTGTTACAGTATTTTTATTTCAACTCATAATTCTATTTTTTATTTCAAAAAAAATATTATTCAAATATTCCATATTATTTCTTTTTTTAAAACCACCTTTTATATCTACAATTAATATTATTTTTTTTTAAAAAAAATTAAAAATTTAATATAAAAAAATTTTAAAATAAAAAAAAAAAAAAAAAAGAAAAGAGAAAACAACACCCTAAAATAGCCTTGCTATTGCACTGTAGCAAATGCTAAAAATAGTGTGCTGGATTGGAGGGCAATTACTCCATTTACGAGGCAGCAGCGTAAAAAAATTCAGTCCATTGGATATGCCCTTAATTTTATTTTAGGGTTTCATTGATGGGTACATCAGAGACTTAAGTAAAGTCAAACCATCCTTAGAATCGAAAATAAAAACAAATAAGAAATTTTTTAAATGAATTTAGATAAAGTGAGTTGCACACAAATCAATTTGGCAGAACAGTGTCACCAATTTGGCAGAACAGAATAGAGATTACTGAATTTTAATCGACAATAAATTTGATCGAATAGATCCAAAATAAAAATAATATGCTCTCTCCCTCTTTTAAATTTATGTTCGTTTTTTTTTGAGTTCATAAAAAATATTCTAATTTCTTTTACAAGTAAGCAATTATTACACTTTTGTATTTTTTTTACTATAAAAGGAAAAAATAATAAACATTATCCACTTTTATTACTCATGCCCGATCAAATAAGTACATCTTTGCATGACAGAAGAAATATATGACACGGTAATGACTATTTATAAACTTCTACCTTTATTATGAAATAATGCAATTTCTAGGGTATGTTGTAAATTCAATTTTCACACGGTATTAGAGTTTTACTTTTTTTCAGATACAACTTACTAATTCACGTGTCTTTGGATACATTCAACTTGGAATTATTTCTAATCCTAATTTCTATGTGAAGCCATAAAATAAAAAATTAGGATTAAAAACAATAAGTAGGATCCAGGATTATTCATAACATTTTATAAGCTCGGAGCGAAATGAAAATAAGAGGCCCTTATATATATATATTAGTATAATTTTTTTTAAAATATAAAATAAATACAAAAAATTAAAGAAAACAATTTTATCGAGCATTTTTAAATGCAAAATTATTAATAATAGTATAATATCAATTTTTTTCCTAACATTTTTTTTTCTATAGACAACGTAGCGAAAATCATTAAGTCTTTCTTGAGAAATTGATGATTTCAAATAATTTTTTCAATAATTTCAAGTTTGAAAATTTTCTTTTCGCCGGAACTACTGCTATCGGCGCTGTTAATAGAATACAATAAGCAATTGAAATATTTGGATGACAATCTCCCGCATCAATATATTCAAGAATTTGAATTTGTGATTTTAAATTATTCGCTAAAATTATTTGCAAACCTTTTAATTCAAAAATCATTTATTCTAATTCAATATCAATGATATTTTCATGAAAAAAAAATAAATGAAAAAACAGTACAATATTCTTTTAATTTTTTTTTGAATTAAATAAAAAACAAAATATATTATTAAATATTTTTAACTGTATAAATATGTCATTCAATAAAGTTATTGTCATATCTACAATAACTAAAAAATAATTAACTCTAAATTTTTTTTCTCCCTATTGTACTTCTTTATTTTGGTTGTTATCATAATTAAAGTTTATTTTTCTAAAAATTCTACATTTTGTAGAAAATATACACTCAATATTCATATCAAAAGCAATTTTCATTTGAAATTTCATTCTAGTAACAAATTCTTTATTTCTATATTTTTCAAAAAATAACAACGCATCTCGTAATTGTTTGATAGTTGTATCAATACAAACAAATTCATATTGTAATTTTTTACTTACACTATTAATTATAAATAAAATATCATACTAAATAATCATACTAAGTAAAATTTATACGATTCAATTGAATTAATCAAACTCTCAACTTCACTTTTTGACTTAGCACCATCACAAAAATTGCATAATTCTAACAAAGCTCATCTAATTTGAAGAGCCCGAAATCTAATAGATTTAATACTTTTAATTCGATTTTCCCAACGACTATTTGATTAAAATTTAAAAGTTAAATTTAAAATATTATCAAGCAAAACTTTTCATCATTTTGTAAAACTTAAAATTAATGTATATATGCGTTGTATAACCCAAAAATGATATCGTTATTCCACAAGAATGTGCTATATCACAAAGAGTCAGACTAAGGCTATGGCAAGCATAAAATATATATAATGCTTTAGATTAATATATTATAATTTTTTTTGAATTATTTGATATTTACCTTTCATACTAGAACCATTGTCGTAGCTTTAGATCTCTTATATTGTCAATATTAAGATCAAAAGCTTTGAGGGCATATACTAATTCATTAAAAAGTCCTAATTCACTTGTATCTTTCACTTTTAAAAATTATAAAAAATACTCTTCTATCTTTATTTTGTTAGTTGACATATTTACACACCGTATGTGTCATTCGTTCTTGATGACTAACATTTTGAGTTAATAAAGAATTAAATATTTCAATTTTTATAATAATTTCTATAACTGAATTTCTAAATTATTAGTCAATATATAAATCAACTCATTTTTTTCAATTTTATGTCCGAGGTAATGATAATAAATTTCATGATTTTGAATTCGTCTAATATGATCTTGCATTATTAAATCAAATTTTGCAATCATTTCAATAATTTCCAAAAACTTACCATGATTATCTTGATACATTTTTTCATTGCATCCTCGAAAAGATAAATTATTTTTAGAAATGCATTTTACAACTTATATTATCCTTATTAAAACATGTCTCCAATATTTTTTTTTCTTTTGTAAGTTCTTGTTGCATATCTTTATCAATTATTTTGTTATTTTTTAATCTATTTTTTAATTCATTCAAAGTATTCATATGTGTTATATGTTCAACACTATTCTCATGTTGTTTTTATTTTTCTCCTAAATATTTTCAATCATTAAATCTATCTTATCAATAAATTTTTGTTAATGTTGGTCTTAAATTGTTTGCAACAAAAATAATATACTTTATCTACATATTTAGAATAAATTAACCATCATCTATCATTAGTTTCTTTATTGTTCAATTTTCTAGAATAATAAACATATGAGAAGTTTATACAAGTGTTACTTAATGGAAAAGTAAAATTTAATTATATTATTGGTTCATTTTCAATTAAAATATCTCTTTCTTTATTCAAAAGATTATTTCAATATTTTGTATAATCATCATTTCTTAAATTTGTTGTATTAGATTTAGATGCATGATTATTTTCATTTAAATTGTTAATATTTTTATTGATATTATTTTCTTCACTTCAAATTTTTATTGTGTTCAAGTCGTTCAATACTACTTGTATTTAATTGATCTAAATTTCTGAAAAATATGTGTTCATATTTAAAAATCTATCAGTAATCTTCTTTGTGATTCTATAAATTGTTTTTCTTGATTTCTTTTCTTTTTTCTTTTTTCTTTTTCACTACCTGATAAATATTTTTTTAGGCAATATCCTATCAAGTATCAAATAACAACTCTAAAAAAATAAATAATAAGATATATAAAGACAATCAAAGAACAATATCACATGAATATTTATAAAATTTAAATGCCCCGTAACCAACCAAGAAGCTGAATAATAGAAGAACAACTCAGTTGCAATTTTCCAAAACTTCCACCGCAAACATGAAACAAATTAACAATATATAGTTAAAAGTTAAAACTATTATCAAATAAAAAATCAACTTACTACTTATAATA